CCATTTTTGGTCTGTTCGTGCCCTTTAAGTGTGAGCAGCGGCGCCTTGGACTCCCAGGTCACTGGGTTGTGACGCTATATGTGGGGGCGTGGTCAGAGCGGGGAAATGGCGACCCCCCTCTGCTGTTTCTCACAGCTGGGTGAGAAGCAGCGCCTTAGGTGGTTCACCTGGGCCGGGCCACTCAGAGTCGCTGGGTTATGACGCTGTATGTGGAGGTGGGGTCAGAGCAGGGAAATGGTGGCGCCCTCCACTGCCGCTTGCCGCAGGGACCTGCCCGGCTCCTGTCCAACCGTCCACTCCCTCACCTGTCCACCCGCGCACAAATTTCCGACCACAGTCAACACGCAGCACCGCTCCCCTGCTGTCTCCCCCGAGGTCGCTCGCCTGGTCGCTTGCTCAGTCGCTCACTAGGTCCAGCCCTGCACCTGGATTCTGCTTACCTGAGTCTGTCTGAGGGAGTCCTCCTGTGCAACCCCACTCCACCAGCCGCTGGTTTCGCCCCTTACCGGTCAGGCTGAAGAATTTGTTGTTAACGGACTTCCGAAAAGTTCAATTTTCCGTGTTCTGGCTGTGATTTCTGTTGCTAATATTTAGTTGTCTCTAAACTTGGTTGTGTGAGAAGGCACGGCACATCCACCTATGCCTCCATCTTGGCGGAAGTCCCAATTGATCTTTCTTAAAAATTCTCACCTGAGGGCATGCTTATTGATTTTAGAGGGAGAGGAGAGACAGACAGTATGAGAAAGAAACATCAAGGAGAGAGAGAAAAACCAATCAGCTGCCTCCCGTCCACACCCTGACCAGGAATCGAACTCACGACCAAGGTCATAAGCTCCAACAGGGGCTTGAACCCTCAACCCACCCCAGTGTACTGGGCGATGCTCCGACCAACTGAGCCACCCAGCCAGGGTCACTTAGAGACGTCTTTAAAAAATAATAAAAAGAATGCAATCAGTTCAGGCTCCTGAAGAGACCTTTTTAATGACTTCCTATTGATCTTGGCATAAAAACCCAATCTGCTCGCCACCAGGGTCTTCATCTCCTCCCACCCCACTCGCCAGTCATGCCCAGGTCTTTCTGGCGTCAGAAGACAAGCGTGCTCGGCCTAGAGGTCGCCACACATGGCTGCTCATGGTGTCCACTTGTCTGTCTCTCTCTGCCCCCCCCCCCCGGAACACTACAGCAAGTGCCTGTTCCTCTTGTACAGTGCTATTGCACCAGCATCTAAAAGAATACCTGACTTCCAGTATTTGCCCAATCAATATTTATCGAACAAGTACATTTGTCACTTAAAAGACTAAGAGATTCCTGGGTAGAAGTGATGTGTGGCAGAAGATGAAAAACTGCTGAATCACCGATCCTATCAGGAGACACCAGACTTTACTGATGTTAGGGTCGGCACGTCCCTCGGCCCGGGCGAGTTTCAGGGTGGACGAGTCCAGTCCGCCACGTGTCAGAACCCCGTGGGGACAGCACGCTGTGCCTTCATAGGATGTCATCACTGAGGGGCTGGCAAAGGCGGCATGAGATGTTATTTCTCATGGTTGTATATGAATCTACAGTTATCTTAAAATAAAGCATCTAATTAAAACATTCTAATCTAGCCCTGGCCAGGTAGCTCAGTTAACTGGAGCATCATCTGGTACACCAGAAGGTTGCAGGTTCGATTCCCAGTCAGGGCACATGCCTAGGTCGTGGGTTCGATCCCTGGTCAGGGCACGCACAGGAGGCAACTGACTCATGTTTCTGTCTCTCCCTCTAAAATCGAGAAACATATCCTTGGGTGAGGAATGAAAAACATCCTAATCTAAAGGGTAAGACAATTTCATAATTTATCCAGCCTGCTTACGTAGTCCTTACCCCAAAATGTATTTATTCCTGCACAGAATATTCTGTGATGCCAGCTACACACCGACAGAACTTAGGCTAGTAAAGGAGTCACCATTTCTGGTGGGGGGCATCTTTTTTTCTGAAGCCGAGACTCTGTTCTTAACCACACAAGGCACATGGCCCATGGTCTGTGTTCAGTAAATATTTATTCAATGAGCTAATGACGTCTGAGAATGCCAAAATGACATCCCGGCACAGGCTGTGAACCCGCAACCCTGCCTATCACAGCGTTCCAACAGGGGAAAGCCAGGTCTATAAATAACTCTGTACATGGCTCCCAGAGCATTCGGGTCAGATACCGAGTCGCTCAGTTCGCCCATATGAATTGCATCACATTGTAAGGTCGAGCAAAAACAAATACTGTCAGACCACCTACAAAATCTTGCTTTTTAAAAATGGATACTGAAATAGCCCTGGTCTAAAAAAAAAAAAAAACAAGACCTGACCCAAAAATGGCCCAGGAAATCTGTGGTGTGGGAAGAACGGTTGCAACAGGAAGTAATTGACTGCACACGGAGAACCTACCTGACTTGTCAGTTCTGGTAAAGGAGGAAGCGTCAGCCTCCTGGTTGTGTTTATCTTTCCTTCTGTGCCCGTGACAGTTAAGACGTCGGACAGCACATGTTTCCATTGTACCAATCCATTCAGCCAATCTACACACTTAAGGAACATTATCGGGACTCCCAGCCTCTAAGCGCATATTTAAATTTTATAATTTCCCTTCATTTAGCATTTCATAAGTTGCCACCACTCCAAAGTTACAAACTAAAATTAACTAAAGTTTTGACAGAAACCAAGTTCTATCTGAGTGTTTCCTTTGATCACTAATACAACCATGAATACTTCCTTCACATGCCATGAAAGAGCAACTTCTTCCCCCCTGCCCTGTATCAAACTGAGCTCTAAACCAAGTCCGAGTAGAGTAGCGAGTAGCGTAGCGGCTGCTCCTGCTCGGCTGCCCTGGAAGCTGAATAGCAGAATACAAAGTATTCAACAAAGTATTCAACGTAACACAGGAGTTGATTTAAACCGATAAAGAGCAGGAACTCAGGCCGAAGGTAAAACCAGCCCTGGACATGCGCCTTTGTTCCCCGGCTCTCATCACACTAGGTGACCTCGTATCTCACCTGGACTAAATACCAAAGCTGAAAGCATCTATTTAAGGCAGATGTGGCCTCATCCTTAAATTTCCAGATTTCAATCACTGCTGTCCTTTTTCATTTACCTTCTAAAGTGGCAGCTTTTGTAAGAGTAACCCAAGAAAAACTGGCTGCATGGGGAGGAGGCACCGGGAGACTAGTCTCCCCTCAATTGTGTAGAAGAGATTCGCTGAAGTTTAAATTTAGCAGACAGATCAGCCCTGACTGTTAACACCGTCTTATCAATGAGAGAAGCTGGATGTCCAGATAAAGCCTAAAAATAAGACAAAAAAGCCAACTTCTAGCTCTTCGAGCTGTCGTCACTCAGCTGCAGCATCCAAACACTATGCAAAAGTGTTTTTAAAGTCAGTCAGTTTTAGAACTTAACCTATAAGGGTGAACTCTTTTTTCTGGTCCTAATTTTGGCATTGACCTAGACGCTTTAACGTCCGCCCATCAGAACTTCCCCTTTTTTTTTTCTTTTCAAAATGTTTAGGTTGCAGAGCACATTCCACACTCAGGCACAGGACCAAGCCATGAAAAAAATAACAAAAATTCCAGTTTCAGAAAAACAAGTCAGCTCAGAGTAACTGAGGAAACTCTGAGAAATCCCTTAAGTTCATGTTTCATGTGATTCATTTGGAAAGAGCAATATTTAAGGGAGACTTACTTTCAAAAAAGTTTAATTGTATGTTGCCACCATTACCCAAGGTCTTTCTATTCTAGGTATTTTTTTACTGCTAAGAATGACAAGAGATAAACATCATTTCTCTCTTAAACTCGCAGCCTCCTTTACCAAAGAATAAAGGTGCTTTTGAGTTACACAAGATAGTCAAGGTCTTTGGAAAATAGGCTACCTAAAATTTCTTCTTTGCTTCAGTCGCATTTTTCTGAAAACAGTTTTGAGGAAAAACTCCCGAGCAGAAAATAGAGCATCTGTGTGTGTGTGCAGGTCTGCAGTGCGCATGTGGGGCAGCATCAGGAGGCAATCCGAAAATTAAACGAATAATTCTGTGCAACATCAAAAGAATAAAATTCTTAGAGATGTAATGATAAAAAGTGTAAAACTCATACTTTAGAAACGACAGAACATTTTTGAAAGAAACAGAAGATCTCAGGGGAAAACAGCCCATGGACATGGGTGGGAAGACTCAGCGTCCTTCAGAGGGTGCGCTCCCCAGTCGGTCTACAGATTCACCACCACCCCTATCAACACCCAAGCTGATGCTTTAGTTAGGCGGTAAGCACTACGAGATCATTTATGAGAATGGAAAGTACTTCTGGCAGCTAGAGTTACTTCTGGTCTGTAGACTGGAGTGTGAGAAACCCTGAAACAGAAGTCACTGCATCAGCGCGCCGTGCCCCTAGGGTTCTCTCAACGCAGATTGAAAACTCACACATAAGCCCTCACATCTGAACAAGGCCCCTCTGTACTGCGGCCTTGTCACTGCCAGCTTGGACCGGGAGAACGGTCCAAAGTCCACCTTAAAAAAATGTGTGGGGGTGGAGGGATGGGAGCTAAGGAAAATTGGAAAGAAAAAGAAAATGCTCCTTGCCTTCCTTACACAGGGTCAGAAATCTACATACATAAAGAAGAAAATGGATTTTAAAACTCTTTAATACTGCATTTGCTTGGAAAAATAATGCAAGGCAATTTCCTCTAAGTAAACAGAACAAGCGCCACATTGTTTGATATGAATCGACCCATTTGCGCAAGCCTTCTGAGGAACAGAGTTAGTGCGCTCTGTGCCAGTGGCACTCACAAAACAGCCACGGGTTTTGCTGCACATGCTCTGCACCTAGTGGGCCTCCCTTTATCTGGATGTCGGGGAGGACGCCAGCCTCTCTTTTACTCTGAAAGAGATCAAAGGTTGAGCCAAGACTAGCTTTCAGACACACTTCCCCTGCCTCCCAAATCACCATATAGAAGCAGTCTTTATTTAGTACACACACACAGGAAATTCATGCTCGGACAAGACTTTATTCTCCCATTAAATAAGATTCCCCCAACTCGCAATTGTCTATTTGGAGCACAAGTCTACCCAAGATTAATGCTAATGAAGTTTCCTTAACATCAAAAAAAAAAAATACTCCTACAAGAAAATTGCTTAGGGAACGTGAAAGCTCTCCAAAATAACTGCGTTCATATTTGCAACTGAAAAGCACAGGTTAACCCTTTACACCGATAGGCGCCGCAGGCTGTGCCCACCTACATGGGTTCCTCCTCGTACAAGACACACTGCAGTATATTTAGCAATTTGACCCGTGAAGCTTTATCCTCACGGCACAGGTAGGCATTCGCTCTGTCCAAAAGGCTCAGTGTTTCGGCCTGGAGGGCCGCACGCTAACGACAGGTGCACTTAGTGGCTATCATATCTTCGTACTCCTTGTACGCGATGGAGCCGTCGGGCTCCACGGTCAGCACGCTCAAGGGGCTGTACTGGGCCGGGACGCACGACGGCCTCGGCACGGAGTCGTCGAGCTGCTTCTCGTAGATGATGTTCTGCACCATGGTGTGAACCGGAGAGCCGTAGCGCTGCCCGACGGCCCTGGGACAGTCCCCTTTACAGTACCGGGGGTTATACCTGTGTGGGGCCACGATCCAGCTGTCCCACTTCAGCTGACTAAAGCTAAGTCTAAAGTCATGGAGCTCACACTCATTTTGAGGAAAAAGAAACTGTTTGAAGTATTCACTCAGATTGAAAGCAGCTGGACCCAGAGGCTTCTGCAATTCTGAGCTGACAGTGTCCTCACCTCTCCGGTGACGGGACCTTACTGCCCTGGCAGCCCCTCCTCCCGGGGGACAGGCAGATGGACCTCTCTGGCCAGGACCCTGGAGAGGGCTCCCTTTGTTGTGGAGGGAATACCACCCATGGTAAGCGTGAGCACTCCTGTCGTTCAGATACAGGAGCAATGAGGGGGGGACAAGGCTGATGGGACTGTCCCGTGCTGAAGGGGGCTGCAGCTGGTCTCTCACACATGTAAAATTCACAGACACCTGAATACTCCTCTTGGCGGAGGCCACCAGAGGCTGAAGCAGAGGGGTCACATCAACCTCAACCCATTTGTATTTCTTTCTGGATTTAGGCTGTGATTCGAAGGAGAAGGAGTGTGGAGGCCTAGGGAGCATCTGGCTGGAAGGCTCCGGCTCCGTCCACACCAGGTGGCACATGCACTGTGCAGCAGAGGGGAAAGACGCCGAGTCGCTGACAGTGTACAGCAGGACTGACTTGAGGGGGTGCTCCACGGCCGTAACGCGATCCAGGTTGAACTGCAGGCCCACTGACTGCACGGCTCCTGGGGAGAAAACCCCCCAGTCGTGTGTGAATACCAACAGAACAGGAAGTCAAGTCAAGGAGTTGGTACCTCCGAACTTGCTTTCTCCCACCCTCTCCCCCACTTCCTCAAACCGCAGAGAAAAGGGGGGCGGGGCTAGTTATACAGAAAATACAGGTCATTGGGACCACAGCTAATTCCCAGTAACTGCAAATGGATTATTTTCTCACTGAAAGTCAGAACAGCTTTGGTGGTGAATTAAAACAGCAGAATTATTGCACATTCTTAAGTTTTAGAATCTTAATTAATTTGCCCCAAATACGGGGGAAGCTAATAAGGAAAACATTTTTCTCTTGAGAAGTCTCTAGAGAGAAAACTATAATAAACAACACTTAACTAGGCTTGTTACGCAGACATTCTGAGCCTCGCAGGGGGGTGTCTCACCTGAGGCCCAGGGCTGCATGCCTCCCAGGACAGCTGTGAATGCGGCCCAACACAAAATCGTACATTCACTTAAAACATGGTGAGATTTTTGTGTGTGATTACCTGTTGCAATGTGTTTGATGTGTGGCCCAAGACAACTCTTCTTCCAGTGTGGTGCAGAGACGCCAAGAGGTTGGACACCCCTGCGTAATGGACTGCATCCATAAAGGAAGCTTAATTGCCTGCGTTAATCTGAAACACTTGAGACTGACGACAAACGGAGGATCTAAAACCACCGAAATGAAATGGGGCTGCGGGGAAGGAGGGTTTTAAACAGGCCCACTGACCTGTGGGTTAGAACCATGAGCTAGTGGACGCAGGTTTTTTTTCCCCCCAAGCACTGCTCCTTTTGCACACACTCTCCAAGATGCTGCTGACTCTGTTCTTGAAAGGACCTAGTTTCCAGTCGGGACTTAAGCTTCCCCCGCACACAAAGTAACAAGCAAGGGGGAAAACAGCTTGTGTGATTAAGAACACCAATAGCTGTGAGATATTTTAGGCACATTTTCAGGCCAGTATTGGCAGAATGGGAAGATTAAACTGGAAGCCAAAAATGCGTGGCTTCCAGTCTTGATTTTGTGACCCTGGGCAAGATGCTGACCTGTTCCAGTAGCACTTTCCTTGGCCTCTAGAGCCATTAAATCCCTTCCAGCTCTGAAATCCTCCCATATTAGCCCATCTTACCCCATAACGGCACTAGAAGGAACAATTAGACCAAGTACCCGATTTGTTTGAATTTGGCTTCTCATCATCATGCAGAGTAAATGCCATTCAAGGAGCAAGGCCCAGCTCCTTTCTGTAATTGAAGTGCAGCCCCGTTTCCCTCCACCCATTAGCCAATCTATTCCTACACACCTGTCGCCTGGTCCACAGAGGCCTGCTTGTGCTGGATGGAAGGGGTGAAGAGCCGAACAGTGTTGTACAGGTGACTTCTGTTGGATTTGGGGATCCCCTCCTTGGTAGCATATACCTTATAGAGCCTCTTCATATAGCGCAAAGCTCCGGAGTCTGCCTGCAGCCCCGAGGCCCCGCCTGATCCATCACACAGAACTTTGAAGAGAGGGGAGAGGAGGCCCGATCGGCCTCTCCCACCTGGCAGCTGCGGCAAGGACCAAGGTTCAGCCTCGGATTCCAACTCAGCACTAGTTGCAATCTGAGCTTCTTCCCTAGAAGCCTGAGAACTTAGGCTAATGGGAAAACCCAGCCAGGAAAAGCAGCCAAACCAAAAAAGGAATTTGCTGGGAAGCGTCATGGCTTGCAAGAACTAGCAAGGAACACAACCATACCATTCTTCCTAAAAGTCAGGAAGAGCCTAGGCTGATCCCTTAAATAAATTTTAGGTGTGTGGGAGGGCTAGCGTCACTTCTGTAATCAGACCTCAAGGGTGCTTAGCTGAAGATAATTTTTATCACCTGTGTATCAAACAGCTGATAACACCCCATTTTATCCAATTTGTCCTCATTAGAGATGGATTTCTTTGGTTATTTTGCTTCCCTCTTTCCTTTATTCAAAACCTCTTAAGTTATCATTATACTAATGCACAAGCTATGTAGCTGAAAGGGTAAGAGAAATCAAGGAATGATCTGAAGATAAAACCACCCATTATTTGAGATTAGGATTCTTAAAATGTTCCTTAGGTGCTTGCTGAAACTCCCAAAGCATGTGGGAAAGCTAACTAATTATTTATGTCGATACGAAGATCTGTTGATAGGCAATTTATGGTATTAGGTTTACTCTCCCTTCAGCCTCACCACCTCTCCTGCTTTCGGGGGCCTGGAATAACTACCACGTATTGATCTAGACGGTGAGAGAAAGTCTAGTTGGCACTGAAATTCCAGAGAACAGAGAACTGTTAGGTTGCCCAGTTCCCCCAGGTGGCTTAGTAAAGAATATGCACTTGGAATACTGCCATATGCTTAAAAAAGGAAGACATCACCTTAAATTTGACTCATTTTTAAATATAATTTCTTGATGTCTTTCTCTGCACATTCACCTGTACACAGTTTGGTAGAAAGGTTTAGAGATGTTCGCAGGTGCTGGCAAGTACATGAAAACTTGACTCACTATTTTCTTAGTCACTCAAATGGTGGTCGAATTTCCTAGGGTATTACTGTTCTTAACTGTTAGAAGTATTTGTGTGCCTTGGAGCTGAGACCAGACTAGAGATCACGTTTTAGAAAAATGAGACGAAGGCGCGCCATGAATGGCAGAAACAAGGGGCCACCCCTACAGAGACCATGCTGGCAAAAAGGCAACCCACACTCCCCGGTACTAGATACTGAACCAGTCTGTGCACCACTTAGGATGGTAAAACTGAGGTGTGTTTGTAAATGTTAAGTTCCTTGCCTGCCAAGCCTACCTGGCCGCTGGCTACCTAGGAAGCAGGGTTATAAAACACACCCAAACTGTTGAAAACCTTAGTCCTATAGATGACATAGCCAGCCATGCCATGACGACACATGCACAGACACGGCAGCCAGCAGGACAGCCAGCTGCACAGGGCAAAGGTGTCCTTAAGCAGAAAGAGCCTTCCGAAAACACTCTAACGCCCCACGGCACCGTGCCTCGCCTCTCCCTCTGGAAGATAGGGGGAGAACAGAGGGCACCGCGACCTCACCCCCCACCCCCCCGACCATCTCGGGGAGACGGGGAAGTGGGGAGAGCTGTGTGCCATGGGGGTGGCCTCGTCCTTCCCTCTTGCCGCCACTTAACAGCCCTTAATCAATTGTTCGACAATTTGCGGGGCGGGGGGGCGAGGCTCTTGTGGCTCGTTCTGCGGAAACGTTTTTATTCGACCTGGGTCTACACCCCGCCAGCGGTAGTCTCAGGCGACGGTGGCCAGGAAGGCCTGGGACCTGAGTCCCCAGTTTCGCTACTGCGGTCGAGCAAGCTTTGGGCCGCCGCCCCAGACCGAGAGAACCGCGCGCTCCCTGCGGGGGAAGGCGGCCACTCGAGCCTGGGGGCGCTCTCGGCAGATGCAGGGCTCGCAGGTGCTCAGCGCGGCCCTCGGGTCCGCGAGCCCCTTTCTCGTCACCTTTGTCCCCCTCGGCACAGAGCGGCTCCCCGCCACCCCACGGCAAGGCGGAGGGCTGACGGGAAGGGCGAGAGCCCGGGGAGGAGCCCGGGGGGCCGCTGAGCCCCCGCGACAGCCGGCCCAGGCACCGCCCACCCAGAGTCGCGTGGCCACCGCACTTTCCTCCAGAATGGGGGCAGCGGCGCCCTCCCCGGGAACAGAGGGAAATGGTATGCCCCGGAAGTGGTCGCCCAGCCTCCCAGGCCAGCTTCCGGTTCTACCGGAAGTGGCGAAAGGAGGCCGGTGGATTCCGCAACTGTGGAGGGCGAGGTGACCCTGGTGCGGGAGTGGGGTCCGGTCGCGCGGTCCTTGTGGCCCCCGGGAGGGTGGGGTGGACAACGAGGCCTGTCGGGGTGCAGGCGGCGCGGCCCAGGGCTGAGTCCGGCTTCTGTCCGCCCTTGGTCCTGCAGGCGCCGCCGCCACCATGGGCCGCGAGTTCGGGAAGCTGTCCCGGGTGCGGCATGTGATCAGCTATAGCTTGTCGCCCTTCGAGCAGCAGGCCTTCCCGCACTACTTCAGCAAGGGCATTCCCAACTTGCTGCGCCGCATTCAGGCGACCATCCTTCGCGCCGCGCCGCGTGAGTGTCTTGGCGGGGGCGGGGGTGGGGGTCTGGGGGCTGCTGTGGATACCCACCGTACACACTCGCCATACACACGTTTTGCTCCTGAAAATTCCTCAGGATGCTGAACTAGTCAAATCTTCGTCTCCATCTTACCTATGAGGAAACCGAGTCACGGAGGACGTAAGTTCAAGGTCACTTGCGTGACTCCGTCTCCGAGAGAGATGACCTCACTCTGAGGTCATCTTCACCCATTTCTTTCTTGGCAACGATCTGTTTTGTGTTAATGTGCGGCAGATGGTGGTGGTAGTGGCCCAACATTGCGAATTTGGTTAAATGGTAAAGCTCCTGTTAATTTTACCTCCGTTAATCAAAATTTTTTACTGTTTTGTCTCTTTCCGTTTACATTAAATATGTTAAGTGTGCCATAGGGGAAAGAGAGGGAAGGTGTGATGACCCAGTTCCCTAGGTGCCCTTCTCTTTGGTCGCTCATCAGATGGCTTAGTTACCCTTTCTTCATCATCTGGTTTAAAAACGACATTTTTGAAAACAAGAAACAGGAGGGCAGAATCTGTTGATTCGGAGAAGAGGACGAGAACCCCTTGGTCGTGTATGTGCTCACTACTTTCTCTCCCGTTTGGTTTTTACAGCGTTTGTGGCGTTTTACCTCATCTACACGTGGGGGACCCAGGAGTTCGAGAGATCCCGGAGGAAGGACCCGGCTGCCTATGAAAATGACAGCTGAGCGAGGGGTCTGGAGGATGGTTCCTTGTCTCCGAAAGACTGTTCTCTGGGAGGAGTCCACACTGTAGTGTCTTGAAGACACAATAAACTTCTTTCAGGCTGCGATGTTGTGATTTTGCGTTTTTGTGAGCAGAATCCTTGGTGCGACTTGCAAATGTTCAAGTTAATGAAGGCCATTCCCCAAGGAGCCCTGATCAATTTCTGCTCTGGGAGTTTGGTGAAGGAATGGGGCGCGCCCCTTGCTCTCAGTGTGATCTATGGGAAAGTAGCTGCAGCTGCTCCTGAGAGCTGGCTAGTTGCAGGGCTCGGGGGAGTGTTGGTTCCTGTCCTCTGCTCCTATAATTAGAATAAAACTACCTAACTATATTGTAATTACTGTAAGGTACTCTTTTTAGCCCTTTACACAAATAAGCTCTTTTAAACCTCAGAACTACCTTTGAACTACCATTATTACACTCATTTTGCGGATGAGCCCACAGGCACAGAGAGGGTAGGGTAAGTATTTGCCCACAATTACAAAGGCAGTAAAAGGCGGCGGTGGCAGGCACTGAAGTCCGTGCCCCTGAAGTTATGCTGTTCTGCCTCTCCTGCTACAGCAGCCCTTCCCCAGCCTGAGATAGCTATAAAGGGGGGGGGAGGGGTCACCCCTTGACCTCCAAGCCCTGCTATTTGTACCCAGGTTGCTAATGGTGTTCAACCGTACATGCCCCATAAACCCTAAAATATTTACTCTGGCCTTTTATGGAAAAAACTTACCCATATTCTAGAGCCTTTGAATTAATAAAAAGCTTTTTTAAAAAAACTATCATGAGGGTTCAACCAGAGACCTAATTGAAAGAAACAAATACGACACCACAGCTGAAGACAGCCCTATGCAGAAATTAAGGCGAGCCCTCCAAGTCTGACTCCTTTGGAAATAGCAGCTGAAAATCAAACGGCCTTTCTCAGCACTGAGCCCACTGGTCTGGGCCCTTCTCACTCCAGAGTGCCCTGCAAAAAAGCCCCAGCTGTAAACCCTGCACGTGCTGAGCTCCTGCTCTTAGATAAAACTGTCCAAGGCTTCTGTTGAGCCCGCCTCTCAACGAAGGGCATCCCTCTGAACTTGGGGCATGGAGCTCTGTGTGGCTGGTAGAATGTGGGGAATCGTCACAGTTCCTTGCTCCTGCACGTGCTCCGGGATCTGGGTTCATTTTAGGGACTACGTGTAGAAATCCATAAAGAAAAGGAAAACGGGTGAAGTCTCTTAAGGGGCCACTGCTGTGGGCCCCAGTGCCTATAACCCACCCACCTGGAGCGCCCAGGCCTGGGTGCAGCTCCTTCACCCGCCACTGGGGGCACAACGACTTGTTCGTTTTGCCCTTTTCACCCAGCAGCGTCCCTGTGCCAACCAGAGCTTTCACCTCTGGGCTGCAGACGTGGCAAAGGGAACTCTTCTGGTAGCCAAAAGGCTTCGAGTTCCAGCTCTGCTATTGCAGGCCCAGAAGTTTGCCAGTTCCAGCCAGCTAAAAGTGGATATACTTTGACCCTTCGTTGAAATTTTACCTGGAAACATTTCTCCATTTCAGGAGAAAGTCTTTCATTTTTCATTAGGCGCCTCCTGCTCAGGGACAGCACAGAAGTTTCCAGTTACTGCCAAACCCCAACGACCTCTCCACCCGGAATGTATTTCAAACATCTGTTCAGGTACTCCAGCCTCTTTCTCCTGTTTCATCCCAGGCTATTCTTGCCTCCAAAGCAGGAAATCCCTGGCAGCTGTGTTCAGAGCTAACCAAGCTATAAACTATCAAACATACCCCAGTCTCACTTTCTTGTAACTTCGTCACTTGAACCCCCAAATGCCAGTGCCTGAGAGGCCTCAGGAACCTCCTACTTCACAGACAGGACAAGACACCCAAGCCCAAAGAGGGGACGGGCTGGCCTGTGGTCAATGACCCCATCGCCAAGCATTCTTACAGCTGAAATTCATACAGGCTGCTTAGGCCTTTCCCTGGAGGGAGGACCGTGTAATAGTGTGTTCATTCAGTCAGCAAAATACTTGGTTGCAGACAGCCTGTGACATTTTAGTTCTTCTCGAAATTCCGGAATAGGCCTTCGCCACCACTCGGGGTGTAGACTGGCTGTGGACAGCTGCCACTTCAGCGTAGTGCTGCCCAGATGCCACTCTGTTTAAACGGTTGACTTTTGCTCCACAGTTAAAACAAGAGCAGGGGTAGTTTAAACCTGTGTTGAAATACTTTCCCGAACAGTGGTTCCTTCCACCGGCACTAACTGGTGGTTCTTTTGCTTTGGGAGGAGGGGGCAGACAAGAGGGAGGCATGAGCCACGGAGGGTTCTGCAGTGTTGTCAGAATGCTCCCCTTTTCCTCTGTGCACAGGGAGGGCACTGGGGCACAGACCCTCCCCTTGGCTGTGGTGTTGGCTTTATTAACACAAAAGGCTAGTTTGGCTTTGCTTGGAGTACAGGAACGGAGGGTTAGGAGAAGCACCCACCTTTGGGATGAGCCATTTCAAATCTCACTTCGCACGTGGCTACAGGCTGATTATGGGAGGCTGGCACCAAGTCCACAGACCCAACAGGCTCCAGGACATCACGTTGTTCGGTCTTTTGCTTATCTAATCGGATTTGTTCTTACCCAATGTTCACTAGGTCACCACATAGCCTCGTCCCCACCCCACAGGAGCTCCTAGCTAGCCCCTACCTGGAGGCATTCAGGACCCCAGCTCAGGGTAAAGGGAAGGAACAGCTAACCAGCCACAAACTTGCAGGAATGGTTAGGTGGGTTTGGCAGAGGTCTGCTTCTCAAAGTCCCTCAAGTGCAAGCAGTGGTGTCTCCTTCCAGGCCTGGCTCCAAGGTCCCTTGAGGACTGGAACCGGGACGGATAGATCTGGGGCCACATCCTGCTGGATCCCGGCTCTGAGGTCCTCCATCCCACCCTCTTCTCCCTTGGCAGGACTGGCACCCTTCCACTCCCCTCCAGCGGTCCTGCAGCTCCTCCACGTTTCCTTGGCCAACAGGCAGGCTCTCTCCCAATACCCAACCTCTGGACACAGGGCCCTGGGAACAGGTTGCAGCAGTTTTCACAGAGACAGCAGGCAGAGAAGGAATTGTTGCATTTGTTTTGTTGACTAATCCTTCTAGGTCATAAGATATGAAGTCCTAGAATCTCCCTACTCAGAATTCACACCTTTCCCCCCCAAAATTTATTAAAATGCCCATGTTTAACGACTATCCATAACTACTCATGCTTTAGGTCCATGCCCCAAGAAGGCAGCAGGAGTTTTGGGCTTTGGAGACGGTTCAGCCCTAGGCCTGCTTCCCTGAAGCTGTGGGGAGGACATACCCTTGAGGAGGCTGTGGTCACCCATCAAGAGGAAAGCCCAGAATTCAAGGGTTTGCAATGTGGTTTGTTACCAGCACAAGCTCTCCCACTATTTTAGGGGCCCTCGCTCCCTCAAAACAAAGAAATCAGCCCATACTCATTCATTCAATTCACCTGTGGTTTACCTAAGTCCCACATCAGCCCTGATGGCCATTCCCCGGGGAGAGGACAGACATGATTTTGACTTCCCACAGCTGGGTCTGCATTCTTCTAGGGAGGTGGTCTGGGCAGAGAATTAGGGCGACAGTCTATGTACACAAATGAGGGGTGGAGGCACTGCAGACGCCGCTGGCTGCTGCATCATCCCACAGCAGGGAGGGGCCGGTCTCACCTGCCTGTAAGGAGACCAGTGCCTCTTTCCTAGACGAGGTCGGAAAGGGTCAACACTCTTTCTGAAGACCTTACTTTCAGAATTCTATTTTGATTAAAGTGATCTCACTGAGCTATTTTGGTACCTCCATGTGGCTAGGTGCCTAGCTTCCCTCAATGGCTTCAGGTGGCTCTCACAGGGGAGGGGCAGTGCCGACTTTTGCTAAAATAGGTGAGAGTGTCCAAGCCAGCAACATAATCACTCAAAGTCCAGATCAGGGATCAGTAAATACAACGTGCCTGAAAGGCAGGCCTTGAGCACATTCCTCTGGTAGACATTAACTTATTAAATCCCTGATTGCAAAAATAAACTTTGCCCCCTCCCACCTGGCAACCACGAGAGAGGCCGATTTCAGTCTATAAAAGGAAGTGGGAACTGTCCCGGGGTTTCAGGCTCCAACGCCCGCCCCATCAAGATGTGGCACCTCAAACTCTTAGCAGTGCTCATGGTCTGCCTGTTGCTGTCGGGCCAGGTAAGGAAAGATCCGAGTGAGGATGTGCGGGGAGGGTGGTGCTGCACGCAGAACTCGAGCCAGACTCGGTCCCGAGGAATGGTGCCTCTGCTCAGTCTACAGCGTCTTGGGAATGACCCGCTCCCGAGACGTGCAGCAGGGGGTCCACTCTTCCACACACACCTGAGGGGAGTGTGTCTTTGCCCTACAGGCAGATGGCTCCCCAGTGTGGCAACTGAGTTCACCGAAGAAAAGGCTGCGGAGAATGACCCCATTTTGGAGAGGGGTTTCCCTCAGGCCCATTGGGGCCTCCTGCCGGGACGATTCGGAGTGTGTCACCAGGCTATGCAGGTAACCCACAAGCCCGGGAGCACGGCTGAGCCAGGGGCCTGGGAAGCTGGGCAGAGATGAGCACACACATGCCTAAGAACAAAATGGGGATGAGGACTTGAGGCTGGGCGTGCCTTGGAGGATCCCTCCCCTCAGGAGTTAAGAGCCAAAGACAGCGCCACACAGATGCCATGAGAGTGGCGCTCCCCCTGGGGAGCGACCAGAGGGAGGACACGGCAGGGTGGCTCTGGGCCCTGCTACCGTTGTCTTAAAAACCTTTTCTTTTCCCTTAGAAAGAGACGCTGTTCCCTAAGCGTGGCCCAGGAGTGACGCACGGACAAGGGGAGAGGACAGCACTCACAGCCACACTCTGTTCTATGGACACTGGCTCACTGCACACTGGCTAGAGACACTTGGGTGAAGCCATCTCGTGTTTTTAATATTTAAAGACAGATGTTTGCTTCAAATTGGTCTTCGTTTCTTTTTAGAGTGTTGATGTTTTGATGACTGTATCTTAACTTGTCAATTTAGAGTTTATTTTTCTACGTATACTATTAAACGCCTCAAACGTGAAATTTTGGCAGTCTGGAATTTAAGCTCTGGAGGGGAGTAAGGGTTCACTTTGTACGCTGTAGAAGAAAACGGCTTTGCCTAATGACAATGTGTTACCCCTGTCTTGAAAATTAATAGTGAGTAGTAACGAAAGCAGTGAGAGTTAACGCTGTTGTTCAAGAAATAAAAGGCCACGACGGCAGGCTACAGGCATAAGTTTAGTAACAGCTGTGTGATCGGCAAGTTCATAAGCTGTGGCCCTGGGTCCCTGCCCTGCACTCCCTGTGAAGGAACTCTTCAGTAAGGTGCCAAAGACGGCAATGTTGGCACCAGCCACCTGATGACGTGCCCAAGTTTGCCTGCGAGTGAACAGAAGGCAGAACTGGAAGAGAACCTAGTTTAATAAAAAGTAAAAGCCCGAGGCACCAAGAGGAGCAAAAAGGGTCTGTCTGAGCTTTCTCTTGGAGCAGGGCGAACCCTGATCTATGTGCAAGGGCCCAGGGGCCAGAAGAGCACAGGCTTCTGCGATCAGAAAGCGAGATCCGTGTGGAGGGACCAGACTCTGGGAGAGGAGCACTGAGCCCTGAAACGCAAGACAGGAAGGACACGAGAAGGGCAGAGTGAGCATTGACAGTGCTTATAAACTTTAATACAGAAAATCTATTTGATGTTTATTAAACTTAGTTCTCCAGCTATGGTTTGGCATTATACAAAGCATCTTTAATGACACAGGAGAGTTAAAAAGATCTTTACAAATTGAAATGTGATACCCTTGTCTCCAAATATTTTAATTGCCATAAATTTATTTAAAAATACACATTAAACGCATGTTTGACACTCTAAACTTTCTATAATCTCAATACCACAAAATACATATAATATACTATACAGATGTGGAAAAATCTAGTTAGTATATAATACTTTGCTCACCATTAACAGCTTTATTATGTGAAATGCACATACTGACTTAGAAATCCTAGCATTTGAACCCCAAAGTACCTCTGAAATTTTAACATATTGCAACAAATAAAAATCACAGTATATAATTGAAATTTTGGTTGAAAATGTCAGATGCCTAAATATTCTGGGTAAGAGAAATGTAAAACACAGACCTGGGTCACATACAAATCAAAGGCCTCCGATCGGACACTAACAGTACCTTTCTGCGGAATCAACGAGGCTTCCAATTGATCGGCGGTGCCACCTCCCCTCCAAAACCCTCCCCAAATATCAAACCATTATTCACCAAATAACTTTAATTTCAAATAAAAGGATTTTCAATAAATATATAAGCATCTCCATCCTCCATATACAAAATTTCTTAAAACCATTCAAAGCGGAGGCTAGACAGAAACGTTCGTACTGTGCTTCCCCAACCCCACGTCTGGTCCTCAGAGCCGGTGCTGGCTCAGGCACTGGCGCTCGGGCCAGCTCCGGCGGTGAGCCCTGCCCACCCGCCCCATCCACCCCCAGTACTGTTGAATGCTCATGCCAATTACTTGCCAGGTGTGTGCGTAAGGTTGTACAATAGGGACACTTCTGAACAGCAACAACGAACTCAACAGCATGGATAATCATGGCGTTGACTCAAAAGGCAGCATTTCCAAAGAGATACGCATTTTCCAGAGAAGAACAGAGCAGGTAGGAAATCGCAGTGGTGACAAGCTGAAAAGCAGCTCCATGCGCAAGCAGGAAAAGGTCAACACTGAGCACTACTAGAATTTCTGAGTGGGAGGTTTTCCCCCCATGCTTATGTAGAGAGCCTTTTTGTTTCTGTTTAAAGAACAGCAATGGAGGCTCAGCTGAGCAATGGTGGCAAGGAGAGGTCACTTGCGACATTCCCAGAAGTCATCTTCACCACGAGGACTGGTTGGGCTACTTCATGATGCTTCAGGTCTACACGACTTGGCTTAGACTTAACTCTGATGCCTTATTCTGTGCCCAAATTCTACCAAAGGGAAGAAACTTATTGGACAGTCTTCCCATTCCCTTCTCTGAAGACAGTACGTTCTCTTTAACCACAGGGTCAACTGAGTAGAGTCGGCAACTGCTTGACGAACTATTAAAACCTGCTTCCTGTCACTTGCCAGCCTGTTCCAGGGTTTAGGGGGTCTAAACCGAGTTTCCCCACAAACACGACCAATGTGGCCTCCTGTTACTCCATATTCCAAGTCATTCCGTACTGGACTCTTCTATTTACCTTACAGAATAGTATCCTTAAATGTGCAGTATTATTTATTATTGGAAAAAAGTCTGCCTCTCCAACACACTGATATATGACATTGAAATGAAGTCTACGTTCCACGTAATTAGGGAACACAAGTTATAGGAGTATATATATAGATAGATTTGAGATGCATTCTCAATTTTCTTAGGTTTTGTTTGTTTTTAAAAACATCACCACAATCTGCCTAAAATCAGCCATTCCCAGTAGATGTTCCTGAGACCCAGAAGCAAACTCCTATAATTCAAAATACATGAGGCCATTTTGTCCAATTAACAACTGGAAAATTAAAATCTTTCCCACCCTGTAGGAGCCCTAATATTCTACGAAAGGGCTCAAATATATTTTAAAAGTTAATTTACTACAAATCATAGGAATTAAGCTTTAAAGATCTAAAAGGAATACACATTGCACCCCTGAACGTTAAGATTCAAGGTGTCAACAAGAAAGTGTCTTAGATCAATTCAATAAATAATGTGGAAATAGTTGCACTAAGCTAAAATACTAAACACACACATTTTTGACAAACTAATTTCATGTTTCATACATACATACATACATATATATAAAGCATGTGTACATAGTTTTAAAGTCCAAAGTTGCACACCCTCACACCTCGCAGAGGGCACAGCGTGCCTCTCCCCTGCACCACGAGGCACCGTGGAATGCAGAGCCCGCTGGCTGCTCTGAGACTCCACAGGGTGCGGCCGGCCTCCAGGGCCAGGACGTCCCTTTAGCACAGGTGCCTTCTGGAGGTGCTTGCTTCACCGCACAAGCTCATTCAATAAAGGTATCATCTCCCGAGGTTTCTGTCATTTGACACAAAATGATGCTATCTGAGCTAGCTGGTCAACCTTTCTTCAGAGGAAACAAACAACAATTAAAAACAACAGTGAATCTAACGAAGCCACAAGTGTGTCCTTCGGAGCACAGGCATGTGCACACGCTGCTCTGGATGCTTTTACGCCAGAGAACTGGTGACAAGCAACCTTCCCGCTCCTCAGTGACTTACAACTATGCATTTACTGGAAGTATTCATTGCTTTTAAAGTCAGTTCTTGGCTACTTGCCTCAAAAAAAGGTGGCACTGAGACAAGAAATGGGCTGAATGATCCCCAGCAAGACTGGGCACGGGCTGGACGGTAGAAGCTCATGGGCCCAGAGGGCAGCGCCCTGCAGCCCAGCCCGTGCTGCAAGGCTATAGTGCCCCTGCTTCACCCACTGCGGTCTGTTCCTTGGCTGCCTGGGAGGCGCCCAGAGGTGCGGGCTGCTGCCTGCTGGCGCACAAATGTGGTCCTTACAGAGCAGTGGACAGAGTGTCGTAAAGAGCTGCTATTTCTAGAGTTGGCTATATATTAAGTACAAGTCTCAGACTGAGTTTTTAACCACTTGTCAAAGTCAGTTGTAAATGGCTGGAGAACACCAAAACAACTACTGAGGAAGAGGAAGGGTCACCTGTAATGGAGCCTGAAGCATGTGCCGGAGCCCATTAAGACACAGAGCTTCTGGGATAGACTCAGGAGAGGGAGTGGTGTTTCCACAGACAATGCATTACCTTAAAAATTCAATTATTTAGGATAGGACTTTGATCCACTGCCCATTACCACCTGGTAAGAAAAGCCCACCACAGCCTGAGAAATGCATTCTCTCAAAATTGACACAGTTCTAGAGAGTGTCTTAAAGCAGCACCATAAAACACACGGGAACCTCTGCATTAACGAAACGTCAGGGTTACGCTGAAAACTCTCCTGCTGCCTCTCAGGACACACAAGGGACCAGAGCGCACCGGGACATGGGGTGCCCAGAGGCTGCTGCTGCTACTGCTGCTGCTGGTCTAAAGCTCAGGACACTCCTCCCATCTCTAGGACATCACTGCGGAAGAGGGAGCCGGGGTCAGAGGGGACAGAGAAGGCCAGGGCACATGCCCACTGGGCCAACAGTGGCGGGTTTCTTCTTAAATAACTACCACGGTCACTGAGAAGTTGTCCTCTTAAGGAAAACTGTTCCTAAAACACACAAAGATTAAGTTAGACATCTGAGGCTATTTCTCGAAGGGAAAAAAGGTCAATGTACTTGGTAAATATCCTTGGATGATATGCAAAAACAACTTGTGCTCCAAAGTAGTTAAGAAGCTCTACAAACAGGAGGCCACAGGACAACGGAAGGTCTCTAGCTTCAGGAGGAAGCGTGGGAGAGACCAACACAGACTCCACTGCACTGACTGGGCCCAGGGATTTTTCTATCCCTTCTCTTCCATCTCAAGCCTTAGCAATCATCCGTAAATGACAGGATAATCCTTTTTTTTTTTTCTGATTGAAGGGATTCGTTTTTGGAATGGGGAGAAGGGCAAATTATATTTTGAAGCAGCATTGTTCAATAGGTTAGACTAAATCATGTACCAAAAAAACAGCTTTTCTGAAAGAAGTTATCTTTAAGCAACCCCAAAGGAAGAGTTAGAAAGGAGAGAGAACCTAACACGGTCACTGCAGAAGACCAGCCGCGTGTGTGTGTGTGTGGGCTCTGGTCCTAGTGTGAGACTTCATCTGTAAACAGTCTTCACTGAAGGTAAGACTTATAAGGCACACCAGACATGATAGGGGCAATAAAAACAAGACAGAGGACGTATTTCTCACCTTTGACTCTTATATGCACCTTAGGGAAAAGGTACTTGAATAGACGACTCTTACAGAGCTGGCTTTTTAAGCAACACCCCTAACTCCCCACCCCTTCCCAAGAGAGCTCACACTGAACCAACTTAGGTACTTTTCTAGTGTGAATCTTCTGAATCAGAAAACAGGTA